CGGGAAAAAAAATCTTGAGTTAGCCAACAAAACAGCATCAAAAATCTCAAGGAACCTGTAAAAAAAACTAAAAATAAGAAACTAAAAATAAATAGGAGATGCTGAATATATACATGCATGGCTAAAACCTTATTATGTCTACAGTGTAAATATGTCAATCAGCCATGGGTAGATGTCTATGCCTGAATTTGAAACAATTACATGTGCCACTCTGCAAAGTACGTCAAAAGCAAGTCTAAAGGGGTAGGGATGTTTGATCATCTCAACGACACTAAAGTTTGAGAATGAAAATGAATGTCTTGTCATTTTGAGTTTTACTTCTTCAGCATCCGTACGTTTGTTACGAGAGTAACTCCAACCCAAGATACATTTATACCCAGTAGCTGCTTCATCCGAAGCTTCCAACGGTGACAGTCAATTTTTGTTATGAAAAAGCATTAGTCAGTTGTTTGCTGGATCACCCTCGCCATTTTTTGATTTGGTGCAATACTCACCATGACATATAAGTGTTACAAAACAAAATATTTTACTGTCTTTGATAATCACAAAGTTCCCCCAATTTTACGTCAACTAGTGAAACTTCAGAAAGCTATTAGAACTCATTACCGTGCATTACTCACCAGGCAAAGTCAAAGACGAATCATATGAATGTTTGTGTGTACTAGTCAGGATCAATTAAATGTCACTAATTATTCAGAGATCAAAATAAGATAAAGAGCAAGAATTACTTGAAAAGCAGATAACTGAGTTCACGATGGATGGACACCGGTTCTTCCACTTCTCCTTCAGTCCTAGCTTATTTTCCTTCGTCTTGAACATCATCAAAAACCTTTCTCTGCTATTATCTTTTGCTCCCCCCCTCTCTCCCCCTAATTGCTTCAACCCCCCTTCCTCTCTCTCTCTCTCTCTCTCTCTCTCTCTCTTCACAGGGTGAATTGCACTGTTTGACCCTAAGGTTTGCCACTTGTACTTTTGTCCTCAAAGTTCTAATTTAATCAATTTCATCCTCCATGTAAACACATTGACTGACTTTCGTCCTTGCCCTTAATCGTCATCCAAAATAGTGACGGAAAAGGGTACGTGAGCAGCATGTGATGGAGTTAGAAGGCCAATGTAGTCATTTTAGGTTACTTCCCACCCATTTAAATGCATACTTGCCTTGCCCTAGCTACCAGTCGAACTATATACACCAAAAACCAGTCTAACGAATATGATTGACGAAGACGAAGACGAAGAGCAAGGGAACATTTAGGCGAAGGAAGAAGAACATGAAACATATGTCTTGCTATTGTGGGAGAAGGACACATATGTTTACTTCAGGGATAGATCAAAATCTTGGTAGGAGGTTCATTTGTTGTAAGAATCGTGCAATAAATTTCAGTTGGTTTGTTTTGAATTACTTCACTTTTTCGAATGTTGGGGCATACTTTTGTTTTCTGTTGCATACAACAAAGTGGAGGGTATGAGTATTTTGAATGGTATGACACCCTCTCTTGTGTAACTAGTCGAAGAACATTATTCCTGACTTGTTGGGGAAAATCAAAAGAATGGAAGCGCAGTTGACAAGAACTTGACACAAAGCAAAGGTGTTGGGGATCTTGGTAATTCTAACATGTGTGTTGGTGTTGATGAACTGGCAGAACTCAAGTGTGAACAAGAACAAAGAGAATAATCTTGCACCTGGTTACCAACTATGAAATTACGAATCTCATTTGGTGTTTGGTTAGTCCGAAAGGATGTGTTGTTTATGTAATATGGTGTTTTGTTTAGTTCANAGAATAATCTTGCACCTGGTTACCAACTATGAAATTACGAATCTCATTTGGTGTTTGGTTAGTCCGAAAGGATGTGTTGTTTATGTAATATGGTGTTTTGTTTAGTTCAGAAAGATTTGTTGTGATATCCAAAAGGGTGTGCTGTTTATGTAATTGATAAAAGGTATTTGTGTCATTTAATTATGAATNCAGAAAGATTTGTTGTGATATCCAAAAGGGTGTGCTGTTTATGTAATTGATAAAAGGCATTTGTGTAATTTAATTATGAATGAAGTTCTCTTATCTTCATTTCCAAAGACCTACTTCTTTGTTTGGTGGAATGTACTATGTAAAATAGAAGAATACAAGAGCCCAAAGAGGTGTACATAAACCAAAGAGTGGTTTATATCATTGACAAAAAAGTGGTACATAAACAATGTTCAAAAATTAAACCACATAGACAATATTCAATATACCCAATTCTATTACATTGTCTGCAAAAACAAACAATTCTAGTGCATATTCAAAATCAAGGACAACACATTATTAAATGACAAAAGTCCTGTATTGTACCCCTTTCCCCTTGGTCTTGATACCACCATTATCTGGATTCCTTCCATTCTTCCCTTTTTGTACTATTGATTGAAGTGATGAAAGGGTTCTACAGCTCTGAGCTTTCCACAAGAATGGTGCTGGATTTAGAGTAGAATGAGGTGGTATGAACTGTTGTGATGATATTGATGGGATGACATTTCTTCTGACATGAATAGAATGAAAATGCAACTTAGAAGTGTTGCACATACTCACGTGATGATAGTTAAACATGTAAAAAAAGTGTGGTAACTCACCTTAAACCTGTGTCACATGATTCATCCCCAATGGTGTGCGCTCTCAGCTTTAAGCGTAAGTTCGCGCTTTGGCAGCGAATTTGCTATGAATTCGCAAATTCATTTTTCAGAATTCGTGAATTCAAGTTTACGAATTTACAAATTAAAATAACCAAATTTATGAGTTTAATTAAACAAATTTGCCGAATTAAACTAATAAAATTTGCATATTATTATTATCAAATTCGACTCTCTAAAATAATATTCACAGATTATAGGTGCGTTACCATACTTGACACAGAATATTGAGTTCCCAAGACAATTAAATTGTTAAAAAGTAATAAACTAATGGAGTCAAACCATCTTCTAAACCCACACTTTTAAAAAAATAATAGAATTTGGGGTTTAGGTTTTTTAATTGGGGATTTGAACGTAGCAGAGTGTCCTTCATCACTTCTTCCAACAAAGAGACAAACCCTCCAAATTCCAAGGTCCACTCCCGGCCACAACCATATGTCTACGGTGTAGCAGAGTGTTCTTCAGTTTTTCTTCTTCAAGGTCAATACTAGAGAGTTCTTCCGGTGTGTGATTCTTACGGGTTTACACAAGTGAAAAATACTCTCCATTTGATAGGTATCTCTCTCTCTCTCTCTCCATTTGTTTCTAGTATTACTGTAAAATCAATAAAATCAGTATTGTTATCAAGCAAATCTCCTGTCCATGAATTTGGGTTTTTATCCCAAGTTTTTAACATTTTATTCTATTTTTTAGGATCAAAATGAGGGAAACTGATGAACAAGGTGAAGATTATCAATCAACTGATGATTTAAGTGCTACCCCACTAAAAACGTATGTGGCAATGGTTGGAAGTAAAAGAGATAATTTTGGTTGTAAATTGGAACCTTATATTGGGACATATTCTCGTATTCGAGCACATTTAATGGGATTGCTTCCTGGGCAAAGAAAAAAAAGAGTTGTTTTGTGTCCAATGATAAGCAAAGATGAGAGAGAAAAGATGAAAGAAGAAGAAGAAGAAGTTAAGAGACTTTTTGGAAATAACTCTCGTAAGAGTTCTCTTCCAAGTTTACCTTACTGTTCCATTGTCTTGTAGTACAAATGCAGGGAGTAAATCTGGTTCACAAAACATTGGTGTTTTATTCAAACTTTCTTTGAGAGAGGAAACAGATAGTATAATTGCAAGGCGTTTTTATGGTTGTGGAATTTCTTTTAATGTGGCAAGATCACCTTTTTGGGCTGATGCAGTGAGAGCCNATTGGTGTTTTATTCAAACTTTCTTTGAGAGAGGAAACAGATAGTATAATTGCAAGGTGTTTTTATGGTTGTGGAATTTCTTTTAATGTGGCAAGATCACCTCTTTGGGCTGATGCAGTGAGAGCTATTAATAAAGCATCCAAAGGATACAAGGCCCCAAGTTCAAAAAAAATGAGAACCATATTGCTTGATAAGGACAAGACTAAAATTGATAATGCTTTAATGCCTATAAAGAATCATTGGCCCAAATATGGAGTTTCAATTGTGTCAGATGGTTGGTCAAATTGTAAGAATCAGACTCTACTTAATGTGCTTGCTGTATCAGGGGGTAGAACTATTTTTATTATTGTTGTGGATTGTTCCGGGGATAAAAAAATTGGGCAGTATATTGCTGAAATTTTGCTTAAGGCTTTGGAAATGGTGGCAACCTATAGTGTTGTGCAAATTTTAACAGATAATGCATCTTCTTGTAAGGCAGCAGGGGATATTATTCAAGCAAAACATCCTCATATTTTTGTGGTCTGGTTGTATGGCTCATACACTTAGTCTTCTCATGAAAGATATTGTAAATTCATTGCATACATCTTTAACTTTTATTGATGAGTGCTATGCCAAGGCAAAAGGGGTGGTGGATTATATAAAAAATCACACTTTTGTCCTATACATATTTAGAACCTTTTCTTCTTTAGAAGTGATTCAAGTGCAAAAACTAGATGTGGGCATCATTTTATTGTGCTAGATCGTCTTTCTCGGGTTAAAAATGTTTTGATTAATATGGCTTTGAGTGAGGAATGGGATTCTCTTAGAAAGGGAAGTTCAAAATCAAAGTTGGAACATGATTAAGTCCAAAAGGTTGCGCTGGATGATGGGTTTTGGAAAAATTTAAAATATATATTGTCATTCACAAAAACAATTTGGAACATGATTCACTTTTGTGACTCGGATAAAACAGTTGTTGGGGAGGTTTTTCAAAGAATGGAGGACATGCTAGGGTATATTGAAGAAGCATTGTCTAACAATATTGAGATGTGCAAAGTAGTGGAAGCTTTAGTAATCGCACGATGGTGAAAGATGAATCTTCCTTTGCATACTCTTGCTTATGTGCTTACCCCTTACTGTTATTCAAATTATTATTTGACAAGTGTAGGTTCATGCAGAAGCAAAAGGATACAGCTTCATGCAAATTCATTTGTCCAAGGTGCTTACCTAAATGTTGTTGATCCCCTAGTTAAAGATCCTTGAGAAGCACCTTTTATTCGCCAGCAACTTAGTGATTTCACCGATGATGAGCATGTTTTTGCTCGGCCTCAAGCAATTGAAGACAGAAAAATGATGAGTGCAGTGGGTTGGTGGAATTTATATGGGGTTACTTCCCCTAAACCGTATTCTTTAGCAATCAAAATGTTATCTCAAAGTGTTCAAACCTCATGTGCCGAGAGAGTATGGAGTACCTACGGAAATATCTATAATGTCAAAATAAATAGATTGAATTGCAATCGTGTTGAATATTTGGTTTATGTTCATTATAACAATCGGTTGTTGACACGTTACAGGGAGGACTATGAGAAGTCTTTAAAAAATTGGGATAAGTTTGCTTATGAAGATGATTTGGACAATGGCTTGGAAACCATTTATATGAGAGAACATGCTACCCTGTATTCCAATGAAATTGATTCTTCAGGACCTCCTCCAAGCAATGCAAGTGCAACTTCTAATGCCCCTTCTTCATTTTCTACTCGAGGAATTTCAATAATTTCTCAACCAAGGCATAGGGAAGAGATTGCAAGGGGAAAAAGGTCGAGGAATCAGTTCTTTTAGTAATTTTTTTTTGAACATGTTAATATTTTGTGACTATTTTGAAACTAGATTCAATCTATAGTAGTCCTGTGATTTTAAAGGCTTATTTAAGCTTAACTGTTACTATTATACATGACTATCATTTTGAAACTTTATGATCAATACACATAAAAATTTAGTAGCTTGTCACATTTTTATGCCTAGAATTGAATTTTTTAAATATGTTATTATTTGCTTATAATATATATATATGTGTGTGTGTGTGTGTGTGTATTTAAAAAATGTGATGCTCTCATGCACGCTCTCGCTCTAAGGAATTTTTAAATTTTGCTACTCTCGCGCTCGCGNTATGCCTAGAATTGAATTTTTTAAATATGTTATTATTTGCTTATAATATATATATATATATATATGTGTGTGTGTGTGTGTGTGTATTTAAAAAATATGATGCTCTCATGCACGCTCTCGCTCTAAGGAATTTTTAAATTTTGCTACTCTCGCGCTCGCACTCTTGCTCCCGCTCCCGCTATATGTGATCTAGCCTGTAACTTTTCTCTCTTATGTAACTGAACACCTTTTCCAACCCTAACACTTGCATTTGCAACATTTTCTTTGGTAGCTGTGTTTTCACTCCTATTCCTAGCTTTCTGTGCAAAAGCTGTGTTTCCACTCCTATTCCCAATTCTCTTTGCAGCTCTTTGTACAGAACTTGGACTGGTCCCAGAACTTTGATCAGTCCCAAAACTTGGATTAGTCCCTCNACCTTTTCCAACCCTAACACTTGCATTTGCAACATTTTCTTTGGTAGCTGTGTTTTCACTCCTATTCCTAGCTCTCTGTGCAGAAGCTGTGTTTCCACTCCTATTCCCAATTCTCTTTGCAGCTCTTTGTACAGAACTTGGACTGGTCCCAGAACTTTGATCAGCCCCAAAACTTGGATTAGTCCCTGAACTTGTCCGTCTCACATTTGCCCTACAACTTCTTTTGTTATGTCACCTCAATAAAATATCGAATTTTCTTAGTTTTGTGAGATTTGGATTGCGATTTGTTGGCTCATCTAGTTCTCTTCTTCTTAGTTTCTTTAGTCTGCCTGGCTGCTTATGGTGAAATGGAGGTAGAGGAGGAACTTCATTTGACTTAGCCCATAGCTTGGAGCCATTTATTAGATGAATAATGTTCTCGTAGGCCTTAAGGTAAGTGTCCTTATACTAGTCATCAACAAAATCCTCAAGTTCATATCTTTTTGCAATTGCCTAGATTGTTTGTGAGCAAAGGATGTTAGCCAAATCCCATTTTCTACAATCACAAGTATGTTCATTCATATCCACAACAAACTGATCTCTATAACAGTGCCTAACCTAAAATTGTGATCCTCCAANAACAAAATCCTCAAGTTCATATCTTTTTGCAATTGCCTAGATTGTTTGTGAGCAAAGGATGTTAGTCAAATCCCATTTTCTACAATCACAAGTATGTTCATTCATATCCACAACAAACTGATCTCTATAACAGTGCCTAACCTCAAATTGTGATCCTCCAGACCAATAAGCAATGCAAAAAGAAGCTTTTTCTTGTTCTCCTCTAAAATTTCCTAGATTTTAGGGCATGTCTTGCCCTCCCATTTTTTCATTACATCTCTCTCTGCAAACAACCTCCTTTTCAGTAAACCCCTTATCCTCTTCAGCATTGCTATAATGAGTTTGTCTCTTGCCCCAATTATATAGGCATTGAAATATTCAAACTGTTGTTCAGAAGTAGGCCACACTTACATAATGTGTGAAAGTGTGACCTAGACCAGTTCCTTAGATGCTTATCTTCAAACTCGGCAAATGCCTGTGAATCTTCATTTTTCATTTTCATTATATTCTCATGAAACTAGTTTACATAAGCTGATCTTGCAGTAACCCAAACCATGTCCTTTAGTGCTTTGCCCTTGTGTTTAATCTTGAATTGTTTTTGTAGATGCCTAACACAGTACCTTTGTTTAACATCAAGAAGCAATTCATAAATGGCATGCATCAGTCCCTATACAAACATGTTTAAACAATTAGTTATGCTACATGTAAAACAAACATGTTCCAAAAAAGAAATTCATTTATCAAACATACCTTCTATTAGTCAGACACTATAATCCAATCACATGTATCGGTTATTCCCAGATCTTCTACTAGAATGTTTAGAAACCATGTTCAAGTTTTTGTTCCCTCCATCTCAACCACAACATAGGCTACTGGGTACGTGGTATTATTAGCATCTACACCAATTGCTGAGAGTAGCTATCCATTGTATACCTTTCAGATGACATCCATCAAACCACACCACATGCCTACATGCTTCCTTAAATCCCCTCTTCAATGATCTAAACATATGTACAATCTCTTAAAGCTATGTTCATATTCCATCTAAGACACATCATCCATTTTCATTGTTATAGTACTACCAAGGTTAGTCCTCTCGCTTCATCATAGTAATCCTACAGTTTAGCATATTGCTCTGCATGGCTACCTTCAACAATTCTCATAGCTTTTTCCTTTGCCCTGTAACATTAATGCCTAAAAAATTGAGCTGATACTCCTTCATTACCCATTCTATAATTGCCTCAACATGCCAATTGGTATTCCCTTTAAAGTCACCCAGGNTTGAAATATTCAAACTGTTGTTCAGAAGTAGGCCACACTTACATAATGTGTGAAAGTGTGACCTAGACCAGTTCCTTAGATGCTTATCTTCAAACCCGGCAAATGCCTGTGAATCTTCATTTTTCATTTTCATCATATTCTCATGAAACTAGTTTACATAAGCTGATCTTGCAGTAACCCAAACCATGTCCTTTAGTGCTTTGCCCTTGTGTTTAATCTTGAATTGTTTTTGTAGATGCCTAACACAGTACCTTTGTTTAACATCAAGAAGCAATTCATGAATGGCATGCATCAGTCCCTATACAAACATGTTTAAACAATTAGTTATGCTACATGTAAAACAAACATGTTCCAAAAAAAAAATTCATTTATCAAACATACCTTCTATTAGTCAGACACTATAATCCAATCACAT